CTAGATTCACCGTAAATTCGCCACGAGCGACACTACATTAGCATGACAAGTGATGTCGAGGGACCGACAAGACTGGTGATACATGACGTCTGTTAACTGAAGCATGCGTTCATCGATTTCGCACCCTGGTTGTTCGTTGTAGACCATTGAGAACCCAGTAAGAACCAACCAGATTCCACGTCAGATCCCGGAACAGTCCTTCTACACGAAGCCGCTGCCAGGAATCGTCATGGGAGGCATCCTCCCCTTCGGCTGCATCTTCATTCAGCTGTTCTTCATACTGAACAGCATCTGGTATGTTCCACAGACGTGGTGGCGCACGTGTGCTGCAGTGGTGCTGTGAGCATGGTCCGCTGGTGATGAATTTGTTCGCTCTACACGATGCGCGTTTATTCGTGTTTTCACTGATCTCACTCCAAGTTGCTGCGTATATATCATCATATATATAGTATATATATATATATACATATATAATCATATTACATATATTAATCACTGCTAATAACATTAGGGGCTTTATGGTGTCGAATAATAAACAAGTGAATCTACAGGTAGCCACAATGGAGTGTAGTGTATGTAGTGTGAGCGTAGCATCATTTAGTGTTAGGTAGCATTGCGTTCGCGCAAGTGCTAGTGTTAGTGCCATAGGTAGATGTAGAGAGAGAGAGACGAGAGACGAGAGAGCGGAAACGCGGAAGGAGAGGATGATGAGGAGGGAGAGGAGAGAGGAGAGAGAGTGAGCGAAGAAGACTAGAGAGAGGGCGAGGCGAAGGAAGAAGAGAGCAAGATGGCTTGAGAATGGTGAAGGTGAGATGAAGAAGAGAGAAGGAACAAGAGAAGAGAGGGGGGACTGACGCCGACCAGGAGAGAGCGCGGGGAAGAGAAGCGGGAGGAGACATAGCAGGAGATGCGAGCAGGAGCGAGTGAAGACCTGTGATGCGATGAGCGAGAGCATGGGGAGAGAGCGAGGCGATGAGCGAGAGAGGAGAAGTGATGATTGAAGAGAGAGGAGAGACTGCAGCAGGAGAGCGAGAGAGAGAGATCGAGAGAGAGCAGAAGAGACGAGGGAAGCGAAGAGATAACGGAAAGAAGAGGTGGAGGACGCGCAGACAAGGCCGAGTGGGATCGCATTAGGACAGAGAGCGAGAGAGAAGAGAGATGAGAGAAGGAAGAGAAGGAGGAAGAGGAGGGAGGAGAGAGAGAGAGAGGAGAGAGAAGAGATGCGAGAGAGGAGAGAGAGAGACCGAGAGAGGAGAGACGAGAGAGAGAGTAGGGACCAGACACGACTCGCGGTATGGCTCTCAGAGAGAGAGAGAGAGAAGAGAGAGAGGAGCCGGCGAAAGAAAAAATGTGGTTGCGAGGTAACGTCACCAGTAGCTGTACTACATGCGTTTCGGCGTTAATCATATCGCGTCAAGAAGTCTTCATGCATTCCTCATCATCACCTGTCAGAGCGAAACTGCGCAGTCATGGAACTCTGCCTATATGTCCACAAATTACATTGCACAGCTGCTGAAGCGCCACTGAGTGTGAGGAGTAGGTCTGGACCACTCGTCCACAGCACGCAGACGCATTCTCACCTTGCACGCACGGAGCGAGCCGACGACGACACAGGCGCGAGGGCACAGCTGGCACAGCTAACATCGTAACTAACATGCCAAATACTGCTCACGTTGGGTCACCACTCTTGTTCCGGTTACCCGTAATGACGTTGTTACCACATACCCACCCGCCAGGTAGGAACTATCTTGCGCTGCAAGGCCATGCCGCGCAAAATATTTGTTCATAACAATTGCATGTGTTTACGTGTGTTTCAGGACTACACTGGTGGGGCAGTATCAAGGGACACATATATATATATCAGGAGTACAAATAGCCGGAGGGGAGTGTGACAACAATAAACAAAAAGCGAACATATCTCGTCATTTGACTAGCCTTATAATACCTACGATTACTCGACATACGCACCACTTGAGTCTCAAAGCGTTACACAGGGACGCTCGGCGTGCTCTCCAGGACGAGTGACTCTCGTTGAATAAGTATACACCCTCAATCCGGAGATTACCAGACTAAAACGGACCACACGATGTACAATCTGTTTGCCAAGCCAAAACCATGTGTGCCGAGAAGCTACTTCTGAAACAAAAGTCAGGGACGAATCCACAGATCTGTAGACTCACCGGCTTGTGCTCACGGCCGAGCGCGGTGGCTCGCAGGGAGAGTGCACTGAGCACAGGAGTGCTCTAACAACAAGAATTACTGTCTCTGACTGATAGACTGCGCTCTGTGCTATGTGACAAAAGGAAATCGGGGTATACACGCTGCCGCTGACTCCAGAGGCTCCTGCTGCATTGCAGGTGGCGCTCTCTCTCTCGGTGGGTCGTCTGCTGCGTGTCGTCTCTCTGCCATACCATTCTCGTAAATATCGTGTCAAATGCCCAAAGCTCTCATTCTTCTTTCGCGCTCCTCGTCGCTCGTCGTCTTCTCGGCTCTTCTTCGTCTACTGTTTCCTCTTCCTCTCTCCTCGACCCTCTGTCCCTCTCTGCTCCTCTCTCTCTCCTCTTCTCCATTCTCTTCTCTCCTTTCCGCCCTGTCGTCTACCTAGCTCTCTCTCTCTCTCTCTCTCTCTATCTATCTCTCTTCTAAAGCTCTCTCCCGCGCTCTCGCTATCTCGTCCTATCTTCCTCTCTCTCTCTTCTCTCTCTCTCTCTCTCTCTCTCCTCTTCTCTCTCTCCTCCCTCCTCCTCTCTCTCTCTCTCGCGCTCTCTCTCTCTCTCTCTATTTCGCTCTCATCTGATTTACTTGATACCACACGCAGTACTGTGTGCGACACCGCGTGCAAACCAAGCCCGCGGGCCTGCCCACATGCAGCGGAGATTTTTTTAATGGGGGCAACCGCTAGCTGGAAAAAAAATATCCGGTGCTTGAAAACTGGCTCAGGATCGGCTCTTTAAAAAGTGTAACTTGTTCAAAGTGTGAAATGTGTCTCCGTCGTTCGCGCTACGTTGCTCGGTTACTTTGCTGGCGTTTCATATAGGAAGTGACTAGCTAGTCTTGAGCTTGGCATCATGTCTCTTGTTAGTGGTTTGCCTTCTTCGGTCACTGCGAACGATAGTTGAAAAGAACACCTGTGTTCGACGCCCACGGTGTTAATCAAGATTCGAGCTTTCAAGATTGCATTTCGAGATCTTGACACTCGAGAGCAGAGAGAGCGACTGGAGTGAGAGCGCAAGGCAAGAGTGTGGACACGATGTGGTTAGTTGGAAGAGACTGGTCTTTTTGTTTCCAAATAGCTTCCTCGGCCAAATAGGATTTTTGCTGGCAACAGATTGGAATCGTTGGGACGTTTTAGATCTGTCATCTCCGGGATTGAGGGTGTAGAACTAGGAAACGATTTCACACGATGGGAAGAGGAGTGATACTGTGTACGATTTGAGCTCAAAGTGGTCTGCGTTAACGCGTAGTAAATCGTATGGTATCTAAAGGCGTAGTAAATGAGGAACGAAATTTCCCGTGGCTTATTGTGAGAGAGAGGAAGAGACGAGAGAGATGTCAACACTCCTCCCTATTATGGGTACTCCTAATATATAGTATAAGGATATATACTATGATATGTAGTAAATATCAGTGAAAAGTGATGAGTGGGTGTGATTTTACTATATATATATATATAATATTATATATTATATATATATATTTGTTGTGTGTGATTTTACTTACAATATATTATAATTTGTGTTGCGAGAGACCGAGAGAGACTGGTGTCATTGCAGGGACTACCATCTGGGAGTCTGGCAATATCACAATGGTAGTAGATTCACTGAGATAGTCGAAGTGACGAATGGTAAGAGAGGTATAATCTAGAGTAGATAGATTTGTGGTGTAGGTAGGATGTGTTATACTAGACTAGCATCTTCGTGGTGTCGTCGGCAAAAAACGCACTATATGACCGGTATTCTCTGATTGATAGATAGCGTGTAGCCATAATGTGATTAGTTAATATCTGTGTTGCCGGTGCTGTCTGTTGCGTAGCACTACCACCTTGGTGGTCGTGCATGTTGTGCGCGGCTGGCTGTGCGTTCGTAGGCGGTATTCTGAGTCGCATATCTGTACTATGTAAGTATACTTGTTATATATGGTATAGTCAATATATTAGTATAAGTGCTACCATGTTGTTTGACTTTGAGTTTTGCGTGTGTGTTTCAGGACTACCACTGGTGGTGGCGGTATCAGTGACATATATATATATATATATATATATATATATATTTGTGTTTCGCCGTGTGTTTCAGGACTACCACTGGTGAGCTGTGGTGGTGGTATCAGATGACATATATATAATGATATATATATATATATATATATATATTTGTGTTTGCGTGTGTGTTTCAGGACTACCACTGGTGGTGGCGATCCTTCCTGACGAGTGGCTTCACGGCTGTCTACCTGTTCGTCTACAGCATCCACTACTACTGCACAAAGATGAACGTCGAGGGCATCGTTAACGCCTTCCTCTACTTCGGCTATACACTCATCATGGTGTGGCTCTTCTTCCTCTTTACAGGTATGTTACATCCTGTCATCCCCCTCACAGGTATGTTACATCTGTCATCCCCCTCACAGGTATATTACATCGTGTTATCCCCCTCACAGCTTGCAAAATTTTGCGCGCTTACGTTTTACCGCCGGAAATTGAAGAGCAAGTGAAACACGAATTCGTTTTTCTATTTGCAGGAACAATTGGATTCTTCTCCTGCTTCTGGTTCGTTCGGAAAATATACAGCATCGTCAAGGTCGACTAGAGGGCGTCAGTGTGCGTGCAAGGTGATGAGATAGAGGGCAGAGCAACAAAGCGGTTACTGTCTGCACTCTGTTCACAGTCTGAGTATTTTCGCTGCATGTATAGGCAATGCCCGGCAGCAAGTCTTGACGAACTACCGACCGTGGGTTCCGCAGGAGAGAGGCAAAAACAACACACGCGTTTTTAACACCATACGTACTACACGTTTACTTTAAAGTAGCGAACGAAATGCTGTCTGCGTGTGTGGGTAGCAGTAGAAAACGTGTGCGGTCAGGTTTTTGACAAACTATAGTTTGTTGTGTGTGATATAAGAATTCGTTCAGCTAAGGTATATATATATATTTTTTTGAGTATGTTCGCCCGGGCTTGCTCTAGCATGGCCTGTATATGACCCCGTTTGTTCAGGTAAACGTAATGCGGTGCATATTTTAACAGCTTGTGGGGTTAAACTTTCCAGTCTTGTTTCTCAACTTTGGTTCTAAATTCAGTATGAACTTTTAACAGGGTGTATGCCATAAGCTTTAGTCAGAGAAATGGTTCTGCGAAAAGAAATGTAGTGAATTCGACATTTCCTCGTCGTTTCCCGTTTGTCACCGACCAGCCGTCTATTATAGGTGTATATGATAACAGCGGTGCACTTCTTATGGGCAAATGTGTTTGCGACGTTTGCATACTCGGTCAGATGTGTCGTTGGCGTGGCACTTGTTCGAAAACGGTGTCTAAGGGAACATTCCAAATAGCTCTCCCCAAGCCATTTAATATCTGGTGCAGACACAACGACAAACACATTTGCAGAGGAACGTGCTGTAGCTTATCAGGGCGACAAAATCAGATGGTCGTTGCGATAGCGTGCAGGGGTTAGATAATTAAGATTGTGTGTGTGCATGTCCGTGTAGGTTCAGTTACAGATCCGTTATCAGTTAGAGATCTGATTGGATCTCATCTGTTCTGTGATCTGATTCGGGAAAGGGTGTGTGTGGCTGCGTGAGAGTTTTACAAATTCTGTGGCGAAATTTGTCATGTGTTGTGTGCATTAGTTAGTGTTAAGCTCAGCACACACGAGATGTATGCTAATGTTAAAACCTTTAAATACTAGCGTACTACACGAGTATGTGTGTGTGCGTGGCAGCCTACTGCTATGACGACTACTGCAGGATTACGCATGACTGCGTATGTCTTCATCAATGGTCCCCAGTATGCGTGTCAGTGTGTTCCATCCAGATCATTTCTGTTACCAGGCAACCCTTATTACAACAGTTACCTTAAACAATATATAACCATCGGTGTATAGCTCGCACTAAGTACGAGCTCGGTGAGTTTGCTTAAGCTGGGTTTACACTATCGATTTTTGTCAGCAAATCGTACCGATTTCAAGTGCAACACAATCACCGTCCAACACAATGGGCTGAAATTCGATTGTGTTGGTGTCGGAGTCGGAGACAAGTCGACGAGTTGGCGAAATAGAACGTGTTCTATTTTGCTCGATTCGGAT